AGCCAGCCATGCTGGCTGGGGGATTCTGGGAGTTGAAGTCCACCTATCTTCAAGTTGCCAAGGTTGAGAAACACTGCTCTAAAGCATCACAGATGGCAGAAAAGTAGCATTCCATGATGACCCAAACCTTAATTCCCTTTTGGGGTTCAGACAAGGATATCCACATATTCTACAGATTGTTCAGCCCAGGGATGTGTACCACACTGTCTCGGCACAGTAGAACGCAGCAACCACCAAGCACTTCTGAATGGTTGCCCTGAAAGCAACATGGAGTGGTGGAGGACAGTGCCAGGAGTTGATCTGAAGAAGACGACTTAACTAGTCCCATCTGGTAGAACCACCTACCGACTTTGGCTGATCTCAGAAAGCTAAGCAGGGCTGGGCTTAGTAACTTGGATGGGAGACCAGTGAGACACCTCAGGACTATAAATATCCTGGAAGAAGACAGACAAACCACTTCTGCGCACTACCAAAAACGCGACGTGGACGTGAAGTCACCAGGGGTCCAGTTCTACACCTGAGACCTGTATCTTTGTAGAAGAGCCTGGAGAAAGAGAGAAGGAACAGATTTGTGAAGCAAGCACAGTGTTGATCACTGAGAAAGGGGAGAGAAATGTCTAAAGATTAAAATACATGCCATATTTTTTTCAGCTCTATTCATCTAATCTTAGCTCCAGTAGGGCAGAGGCCTTGAGGGATTTCTTAGACTCTTTTATTAATCCTTAAACCTGAAAGGTAGATGAATTCTTATTAAGGCTGACATGCAATGGCTTGACTAAGGCTCCAGGTTAATAGATAACCGATGAGGTTTGAATTATGGATGTTTTTAGAACTCCTCTGCTTTTAAAAACCTGCAACATCACATTTCTCTGAATGAAGCTGGTACAAGTATTTTGCTTGGAGTTTTTGTTTTTCACTACGGTGGAAAGCACCCCAACTAGCGTGGGGGAACAAGATGTACAAGGGCTAAGCCAGGCAACCTCCTGTGACATCTCAGCTGGCTTTCCATGAGCAGCTAACCATGTTTGGTGTGGAAGCTAATGAGGTTTTGCAGAGAAAGTGGCTGAGTTCATACAACAAAGCTACATGCCCTTGAAGACTGTCCATAAATAACTGGCAATCAGCTGGTCGTCCTTCCTTCAGTGGATGAACATAAATCCATGTTTTTCTAGGCATGTAATGCTGTTGTTTCACAAATCAAGTTTACAAGTATGATTCTTCACCTTCAAGATGTGTGGGGGAATCACCAATATACATCTACAAGACAATGCTGGTTTGTCTAGCAGTTAAGGTACTGGGCTGGAAACCAGGAGACCATGAGTTGTAGTCCAGCCATGAAAGCTGGCTGGCTGACTCTGGGCCACCAGTCCCTCTCTCAGCCCAACCAACCTCTCGTTGTTGATGTGGGGAAAATAGGAGGAGGGAGCATCATGTATATACCACCTTGTGTTGCCCAAAATAAAGTTAAGAAATAATAATAATGCATGAGTTTTTGCATTATTAAATTAATTGAATGGCTGTTAATGGCCCTATGTCTGAGATGTTCATGAGGATCCATAGAGACCTAAACAAGCCATCTTTAGCTTAAACCAGTGCTTCTCAACCTTGGCAACTGTAAGATGTGTGGACTTCAACTCCCAGAAGTCTGGGAATTGAAGTCCACAAATGTCGGCTGGGGAATTCTGGGAGTTGAAGTGCACACAGGGGTTTAAAGAACCACAGAGATAATTTATTCAGGAGAGGACCCTTCCCCTCCAACTGAGTAAATTCTTTCTGTGGTTCTTTAAGGGCCATTTCTCAAGTACTTGGGCTGTGATTAAGGGCAGGCAAGCCTCAACAGAAGATTCAGTCTGTGTCAAGAGAGGATTTCCACCGACACACCTTTTATTTAATCTTACCAAATTACGTTCATACCAGCACTTGTAGGATTTTCCCCTGCAGGGTGTTCTCTTGTAATTATTAAGGACAACCAGTGGGAATATTAACACCAATATTTTCTGGGTCAGGAGGCAGCCATCTGATTGCACCAGAGGAAATTTGCCTTGCTACAAAAGCTCAGTTATTCCACCAAACCAGAGTTATGTGCGTTATCAAAGCATGAAATTGGCAGGTAAGAGGCTTATGGGTCAGCCGCACATTGTCCTATCTCCAGAGGTAACTTCACCACGCCAAAGTCAATGATCTGAGAAGATAAACTGAGAATCATGGTTTATCCTTTACATTTGTGCAAGATCAAACCATGGATTTAGGCTTCAACACAAGCAATGGGATGTTACTGGGTCTAAATCAGGCCCAAGTTCCTGAGATGCCTGGCAGAATTTGGCCACTAATTAAAGGTAGTTTCACTTTGGAGTGAAAGGTGGACTACTTAGATAATTCTCAGGACAATTTTCATGCAGCCGCTAAGACTCCACGGACATCCTCAAGGCATCCAAAAAGTCAAAATGGCAGTCACAACTTTGCACTAAGCAATCTTCCAACTGGATGGATGGTTGATAAGATACCCACTAAATATCTTATAAACCCAGGCAGGACTCATGGCTGCCCCAGCCTGCAATGTCCCAGCAGCTTCGAAAAATGCATGATTTGAAAATAGGTTTCAAAATGTAGATATATATACAGACACTCTCTCTTTCAAATGGAAATACGGCCCCTCCCAGCAAAGGGCAGCACCGCCCCAGCCAATTTCAAAGCTAAGCAGGATCAGACATGACTCACATTGGGATGGGAGACCAACAGGAATCCCTGCAATTTTGAGAAACCGCTACCATACTGTTGCCAAAAGAATGGTACGGACCATGGACGTGCTGGGTCAAGCTCAAGACAGCAGATGCCCTCCTGCTTAGAAACTGTTTTTTAGCAGCGAGACCACCATGAAAGCTCGCTCACTTCTGCATCTTCATCGAAAAGCCCTTCCTCCCCCCCCCCCCCCCGCCTCACCACTTCCATTTGCAGCAGAAGCTGAGTTTATTTCCAATAAAACTCTCAGGACGAGCCCTCGCGGGCATGCGGAACTGAGACACCGGGTCCCCACCCAACCCGCTTCCCCCTTTACAATTCTATCTGGCTGGCTGGCAGGACAGAAGTGATTTCGGTGAAATTGACTCAAGCCGTCAAAACGATGTAAAATGGCTTTTAAAATCTGTTTCGGGAAAAGCAGAATCCGGAAGGACGAAGCAGCAGCTTCTGACTGCGCAAGCTGGAAGACGCTGAGCAGCGGGGTGATGAAGAAGAGGCGCCTGCCCTGCGAGGAAGCCAGTGCAGGAAAAGAAGGATTTGCAGAAGCCAGCCACAGAACTGCTATCTCTAAACGCTCCAGCACATGCAAGGCACACAAAAACGAGATTAAGCCTCAATCCCATCTTCTTTGTCCATACCCTGTAGACACCCTGCGTGCTAGAAATGGGATGAGAGGAGGCCCTCAACTCACGCAGGAGCATTGGCAACAAACCCGCCCTCCCTCATAATACCCTGGAACTAGCCAGCGGTTATTAAAGATTGCTCTCTCTCTACAGGTCGTCCTCATTTAGCAACTGTCTCGTTTAGCGACTGTTTGCAGATACAACAGGGATGACAAAGTCACTTTGCGACCCAGCCTTGCATTTACAACCTTTGCAGGTCTGTAAAGCAAAAGAAAGCTGAAGGAAGATCGTAAGCAGTTGTGGTTTCACGTAGCAACCGCTTCGCTTAATGACCAAGTTGCCAGTCCCAACTGGGGTTGCTAAATGAGGTCTACCTGTGTATTAATGAGAAATATTCTTGCTCCTCTGTGGGTGCTGCTGCCATCTAGAGGACAAAACCAGAGGTGCTGAGGGCCCATTGGGCCCTGGCAGAGCAGAAGAACCTGCCAAAAAATGCTGGATCCCAGATGCCAAGGTTGCATGTTTCTAGAGACCATGCAAATGTTTCAGCTAGACTGCCCCCTCCCTGGAAGCTCTGAGGAACTTATTAAAAGGGGAGCTTTTTCCAAGAGGCCTTCTGTAACATTCCCTGTGGAATTCTTCTGGGTCTTCTGATCCTTTTCCTCCTCCTTTGCGATCTTAATTCTGTTGTTGCTTTCATTGTGATGCCGCAACGACTTGCAGGTAATTGTCCAATCAACCAATAAATCAAACTAAAACCTTGATGCAGAGGTAGCCTGCTGTCACTTTTCCTCTGGGCACAGGTTTCTTTTCCTTTGCAGACGAGACGTGAGGAGAGGCTGCCGACCTGATCGACGGCTTCACATATTGCTTAGGCCAGTGTTGTCCAAACCTGGCCACTTTAAGATGAGTGGACTTCAACTC